TTATTGTTATCGCAAATTACACATTCATCTTCATTGCTTCCAGATCGCAGTCGTGATCATTGTCATTAATCATTACACATTTTCCCATCATACTTCTATCATCCAAATTTTTTGAGCGTTCTAATTGTGATTTACATTTTATATCAAAGACGAACTGTATCTTATCTTATCTTATTAGAAATTGTTCAGTTGGCTTACTGATTTATTAATTTTACATTTCTATGATAAGGGATTTCTACTAAGGCACTGGCGACATTTATAAACACTGTCACGTTTTAAATTACAATTAATTTTCAATCAAAATTACATGTTAGAGTATTTCACTGACATATTGTAGAATAAGAATTACAGAAGCTGACCACGACGACATGATACGATGCCTGTGGGTTTTCTAGTAGATACATTACCGCGATGACTGGTGACGCATCATCCGTGACGGTCGCGTTCTAGTAAACAAAAGCCTGGAAATTGTTCGCCGAAAACCGCGATGGGTACTCCAGAACAACCCCAATCGCGAAATCTTTGAAAAGGAGAGCCGGGCTGTTTAAATAGGAGCCACTGCCCGGAACGGACAGTCTAGTCTAATCCAGCCGAGTCGATTAATGATTAATGAGTAGTAGTAAAGTCAAGTTGAGTCGCAGTTACTCTCTGTATAGTAGTTGTGTAGTTTTCTTTTGTATTACTGAGAAATGAATTGTTGAGTTTTACCTACGCCAATTTAATTTCGGTAAATCGTAACAATACTTTCTAAACGAAATTTTAAGAATAGACTCTCTCTACAACAACGTGCCCTAGTCTTGGAATCCAAGAGTGTGCAAATTACTATTGCTGATCTTATTGTTTTTACAATGGCTTTTTTCTCATAGTTTCCGTACATGAATGAAACTATTCCTTTCTCGCCACGAGAAGAGCAAATGTTCCCACCCATATCAATATTTTCGCATTGTTTTTACTCTTACTCAGTTTTTGGACGTGATGTACAACGTTTTTCTTTTATTTCAAAGTGTTTAATTAAGTGCGGATTAACTTCACCTCAACATTTAGAAGAAGTAAGTACATTTTAGGTGGTACATAAAGATTTTTGATCTGTAAAGTTAATCCTAACAGACTGGGCTGAGCTTATAAATATAATAAGGTATTAAAGGATTTGTTAAAATGGAAATTAATAAAAATTTAATACTGATGCAGTTTATTGCGTAGTTCAAATAATTGTCTTCAAAGCTGTTGCATCCAACTCCCCTTGTTATTAATTTTTTAGGAGTATATCATCAACTTACTAGAAATATATAAACAAATAAATTTCAAAAAATTTTCTAGAATTCTTAAGTAAGTAGTAGTGTTTAATAAAAATTCTCAAAGAATCTATTATGTAAACTCTGAGATAAATTATAAAATTTTATGGTCTAGAGTTTACCATTTTTATGATAACCGATGCGCCTAGAGTTACACTTGTAGGTGTTTTTTAAAGACAATTGCTGCATTAATTTTATGTTTGATACAATCGTCAATATAGGGAAATCATGTAGATGGGAACAACTTGTTTTTTGGTGTTATGTAATTGCAAAATACTAAATACCAATAAAACAACGAAAATAAATATATTTTCAATTGACATTTGATTTTTGCGATACTTCCGTTAGTATCTTTGAGATGGTATAATATTTTTATTTGCGAAAGATAATGATAACAGGGAATCACATTACAAATGGAGTCACCAATCTCGGATTAGCTGGAGATAAACATTTTTTGCTATTAAATCTATTGAAAAACTGAGATAACGTTTGACCCACTTTTCACATCCTCTTATCTTAATTATTAGATTAAAGTGCAATTTTACGTCAGCTTGAAGTTGTATAGGTTGTAGATACAAATTTAGGCTTTCTCTTTCTGGTTATTTGTCGTCTATCTGTTCGCAAATTTTGAAATTGTAAAGTTATTAAACTTATACACGATAGTTTTAAACTATGTGTATCTAAAATTTTACAACAATCAATTCTTAGATACCGAAGAAAGCTTTTAGGAGATTGAAATGGAATACCCACTTTTTCCAATTTTAAAAATGAAATTAACCATTCGCCGAAGAGATGCTATTATAATACTTCCCTACTTTACATATACTCAGTAATTGAAAAACACATGCAAAGCCAACAATATTATTACAGAATTCCTTAAATAAACACAATTACAACAGTAATACTCTTAATAATAATAGATTTTTATTCAGATGTAATATTGCAATTAAAAAGATGAAACTTTGACGTGCAATTTTTAAACAAAACAAACTTGTGAACATAATTTTATACACTAAATGAAAATTAACCGTAGTGATATTGTTTCTTATGGTTACCGCATCCATCAAAGTCATCAATATGATTTGTGCGCTACCCGAAGGATTAAAGTGGTTTATAATGTCCGCTTCTCTGGTCACAAATAGATGATGACCACACTTCTTGTGTAGTCACAATAGATGGCTCAAATGCCACAATAGATGATACTTCAAACTGAAAATTTTCTGTTTATTTTCCTATATCTCATTACAGACTATATACAAATTCAAACTCGATACAAATTTGAATACGATGTACAATTGTACCTACAGTAAATAATGAAATTCATGGAACTATCGGTTCACTAATATTGTATTTCCAAGATTGGTCAATTTAAAGAATTAAGAAGAAATTTCCAAGTACAGTCGCGCTCATACAAAATTCGACCACTTTGACATAACAAAGTTTTAAGAAATCTTCTCTGAATGTTTTACAACATAATCTTGTAACAAAAATAATAGGGAGACCATACTACATAGCAATATTCCAGTCTAGACCTAACGTAAGAGTAATACAGTTTTTAATACTTACTAACGGATTTTTAAAGTTACTGATGTTCCTGATTATAAATCCCAAACAATTCATTGACACATTTATGATACTGCCTACATGATCGTTAAAATTAAGTTGGTCATCAAAATTTATACCAAGATCTTTTATTGTTAAAGTTGTATTAAGTGGAAGAAAGTTACAGCTGTACGCAAATAATTTGGGATCTTTTTCTTTGAATATGACATTAAAGTTTATTTACCTCGCACCAAGCATGTATTTCATTGACATTGTTCTGCAGTTGACGGCAATCCTCCTGTGTAGATCCTAGTGAATATTTTTAAGTCGTCAGCAAATAAGAGCTTTCCAGAATCAATTATATTAACAATATCATTGATAAAAATGATAAAAAAATGGACCTAGGTTGGAACCCTGAGTAACACCCGATGTCGATATGTAGGACCGCGATTTGCATCCATTATAGGTCACATATTGAGATCTACTGTTTAAGTAAGACTTAAAAAAATTCACTAAGGGACAGTTAAATCTAAATAAAACAAGTTTATTTAAAATAATGGTGTGATCAATTTTGTCGAACGCCTTCGAAAAATCCGTATAAATAACGTCCACTTGTCCCTGATCATCAAGGACATCAGTAATTGTATTGTGTAAGACAAGTAAGATTAGAGACAGTAGAACGTTGCTCCATGAATCCGTGTTGAAAACTAGAGATATAAGACGACAAGAAGTATATATGTGTGAGTAAAAAGTTATTTCAAAGACTTTAGAAAAAATAGAGAGCACAGAAATTGGTCTATAATTAGTAAATAGAGATGCATCGACACCTTTTACGACAGGAAATACACGTGTTATTTTTCATTCCTATGGGAAGGTAGAAGTCGAAACAGATAAATTAAATAATATCTTCGGTGGCTGAACAAGCCAAGAAGAACAATTTTTAACAAAAAAACTAGGTATCGTCACCAGCGGTTAATTTATTTTTCAATTTTTTTATAGTATTTTTAATACCTATCATATTCAGAAATATTCATTATATTAACATTAAGAAAGGATGCTGTGTCAATATGATCCATTGAATTATTGCTAGTTGTAAAAACACTAATAAAACATGTAGTAAATCCGTTAACTATTGATTATGGAGTAGAGGAAGCATTATTGTAATAGTACATAACAGCTGGAATTCTTGTTACATTTTTATTGTCAATTATAATATAACAAGTGATATGATTATTATCGATAATATTTCGAGTGAAACCGAGCAGCAGATTCAACGAGTGCGAAGCACGAGTTGAATGTGCTGCTTCGGTTTAACGAGCCATATGTTCGATTATTTATTAATCATATCACGAGTTATATTCAACATGAGAATATAATAAATGAACATATTTTTTGATAATAGAATTGATTTCGTCGTTTTGAGCTTGCCCCCAACGTTGGCAAGCCATAATAGACAAAAAAATTTATGAAATTCTAAAATTTGTCAAATTTGACAATTTTTAAATTTAGGTAGCAACAGGCCACAATAAGGCAATAAAATTATTATCGCTGTGATAGACATGTAACTAAGGGCATGAACAAATTCTATTGGAAGAAATGGGATCATGTGATACATGAATTATATTCTCATTGACATACATATTTCCAAAAATATTTTGGATCAGTATTTAACTTAACCTTGACTGTGTCAAGATATAATCTATATGCAAGAAATACTTGAGACTCAATAAGTTGAAAACCGCAAGCGTATAAATTTATTCAGCTGCTCTTCATTATCTTTTTTTTTCATTGCTGTAGGTATTTATGCTTTAACTTAATATTCTTAATTATTTCAATGCTATACCATCTCGGATATTTTCGAGAAGACTTTTGGGTCTTAAAAATAGGAACGAGTATAAGATTGATTAAAAATGAGAACAAGCATCATTGAGTTGTGTTTTGAAAACTTTATAGTTCAACAAATCAAACAAACCACACTGCCGTAAAAGAACATCAAAATTATTTCTATCTTAAATTTGGTACACCCTTGTCCATAATGGTATATTTTCTGTCGGTTATTATTTATTACACATTGTTTTTAACGATTTACACAGGACAAACACCAATATTTATAGCGATATTAGATAACCATAAAATTTACAACGAAAATTTGGTTTCCTGTTGCAGATCGACACTGAACGAGATTCAACAGTTCCTGCAAAATTACAACGAAACCTGTCGAAGAAACAACTACACAGAAGCTGCGATGATAGGTTGTGACACAGAATCCAACATTTAAACATTGAAATCCACAGCATTCCTCTAAAGAAAACTGCTGCAAGAAAACGTTTTCAGTTCTGTATTGGAGGGTACATTTTACGAGTAGAACTATCGAAATTTTGATCGTAAAAACATATGTATTATTATCTACGACTTGAAACGATGAAAGAATACGATGTTAGGTAAATCTTCTAGTCAGGAAACCTCAGTGCCCGAATTACCCTAGAAGTTAAAATTTCTTTCCTTTTACAAGGGAACTTGGGAATACTGTCTTAGTGTCAAGTCTGCAAATACCTATGTGAAGTAAAAAAGTTGTTTACTTCATCGTAGAAACGAATCTCATTTTTTTAAGAAAACTGAAAAAACTTGTGACAATAATATCTAAAATATTAAGTAAATATTTGTATCATCAAATAAATATTTCGTGTAGATGAATATATTTCTTTTGTTAAATATGTAAACGTGTGTACGTGGGAAATTCAATGAATGTAACGCTAATCTTGGCTGTAAAGTTTGTTACTAAACAAACTTAAGTTAATATTTTGTGAATAATAAATCAATGTTAATGTCAAAATTATGTAGTTTTTTGGATATACAAAAATTATAACTGTACATTTTTTTAAAGATAATTCATATAATTAAAATTAGAAGTGGATTATTAAAACCCAGGTACATACAGGTATCGCAATTGGATAAATCACCGTAGTGATTTATCCAGATAGGTCTATATGAATTTGTTATCATTTTTATTAATGCAACGCTCTACAAAGCCAAAAACAATTTATTAATTGATACACACTGAAATCTAAATATTTCTTGAATGCACATGTTTAAAACAAATTACATAATAGACTACTTATACCATTCATCTGTTAATTCCTTAAAGCCAATGAAATTGTAGCGCATGTATCTTCCCAGAAAGATATTCAAGTGCCAATTTTTAAGAAATGAAAATCGATGACCTCTATCAGTCAATGGTATTAAATCCAAACGTAAGGCCCTTTCGCGATACCACCACAAAAATATTCAGCATAACTTTGACTACGTATAGTATAAGTGATAATATAATTCTTGCATCACGGGATGAGCTTTCATCCAATAGAAGATGCTAATTTCCAAAGACACCCTTTATCATAGCGGTAGTTTTTTTATTGTGATCGCACGGTGTTTGTTGCTACAAAAAATTCGAAAAAGGTCATATTTAATTGGACTGTCAAGTTTTTGCCAATTTGAAATTCCAACAGAATTATGAATTCTAAACGTTGGTAAATGAAAGTGAAATTGGTAACATTATTGAAAGTAGTGTACCCAAGAATACCGTGATTAACAAGCAAATTCAGTGGTGGCAGTTTTGGAATTCTGTGGAGCAAAAAATTATAAAATTGATGCCATTACAATTCCCGAATGATTCTGAAAGAGATGTAGAAGATGTAGAGTCTGTAATAAAAACATATAATAATAGGCTCTTAGGGATGGGGTGAGATTAGAGAATAATAAGAGAATTTGTATGCTGTAATTCTAGGATCTCACAAGTTTTTCATTAATCTATATCTATTTTATCTATCTAGATCTATATAATCATATCATTACTTGGTCTGAATGCCGGTCATTTCCGGGTAAATGGTGGGTCCCAATAAGAACAATTGTTCAGCCATCAAGGTCGAAAGTACACGACATCGTCACAATATACAAAGAAATCATACAGATATTTTATATATTATGCATGTTCACAATACAAGCAGACGTTAATATCGATTTAATAACTCATCTAAACTATAATACTCTATATTCTATAAGCCTATTAAATATTTTTTAAGTTTACATTTGAATTTATTTGTTTCACCCAATTTATTAAAGTTAGTGACAAAGAGTTAAATGAAAGTATTGCTCTATAAAGTAAGCCTTTTCAAAGCAACTGATTTTATGTTTCAGCACGCTGAGATAAGTATGACCTGTTGTGGTCATCTTAAAGTAAAAATTCTTGTTTCTTTCGAAACTGGTCTCATTACATCTTACATACATTATTAATTTAAACATATAAACCGAAATTACTGTCATTATATCAACCTTTTTTTTAAAGATCTACATACTTCTTTAGTTGATAAGTCAAGCATAGTTGTTAAAATTTTCTTCTGGTCTATAAAGACTTCATTCTACTCAGACGATGAATACAGAAAACCATGCCATAAGAAATAATCGACTGTAGGACAGACAGGCAAAATCCAAATTATATAACATTTTGCAATTTAATTTTGAATCTGCAAAACCGATTGCCTTGAAATCTTGCAATGTTTTAAAATCATAGGCATGGTACTTTTTCAACCTTTTTACAATGTCGTCTTGTTATCATATTAAAAAAATAGTAAAACCTTCAACTGTGATGCATGTAAACAGTCCCTTTGTAAAGAGTGCGCTGAATTAACAGAAACTGAAATAAGGACATTTGAAATCAAAAATCGAAGAATGCGATTTTATTATAAAAAATGTGACGGCGCTATAACCCCTAGTCCTCGATTGGTAGAACTGGTTAACAATTTACAAACCAAAATTAATGAATTAAAATCTAATATTAAAGACAGGACTCCATGTGAAGTTTACAAATTCCAACATAAGTCTTATATAAGTTTTGTACAATTTCAAGAACACCATGGGATTAGTTTTACAAAAAACTTTACTTAGAAGAAACAACATGGAGCTGGCCCTTTTAGTAACATGAACAACCTGATTTGACTACGACAGGTCAGAACTCACTAATACTCCCAAATCTCGACAACAGTCAGATTTTGTCAATTCAGTATCATCAATATAGTATAAAACCTTTGAGTTCTTCTTACCAATGTAAAGAACTTTACATTTATCTATGTTAAGTGGAAGCAGCCAATCAATGGACCATGTGTATACTGGAAGAAAATCCTCTTTGAGAAACACAGCATTAGAACTACTGTTGTATGACTTAATGTCGTCTGCATACATTGCAAACTGCGACTTAAATGTATTCTTTAGATCTGCTGTATATGCTACAAAAAGCAAAGGACCTAAGACAGAACCCTGCGGGACCCCACTCGACACTTCCACTGGTCGACTGAAAGAACTGTCCACTTTAATACGAAATGTAGGATTGCTGAGAAAAGAATCAATCCAACGACAAAGCTTACCTAATAAGTTGCTGGAGTTTAACCAACAGTCGACGTTTAGGAACGCGATCAAAGGTTTGGAGAAATCCAAATACAAAACATCTACAATGTTCCCAGAATCAAATGCTCTGACAAACAACACAAAAGATTGGACTGTATTGACTTACTAGGTAAAAAAACATGCTGCTGTGTTGGTAGTAAAGAATAATCTATTAAAAACTGGATCAGCTGCTCATAAATAATTGATTCCATAATTTTGACAACTACGGAAGTAAGACTAATTGGTTTATAATTACTGGCATTAAATTTATCTCCTTTCTTGAAAATAGGACGAATTCTTGCTGTACGCCAGTCTGGTGGCAGGGAAGCTGTATCAAACAATTCCCTCATTAATATCCCGATAGGTTCGCTAAGCAGACCAGTACAACACTTAAGAACCTTAGTGGTAATCAAATCGGGACCAGGAGATTTTGACACGTCTAACTTTTTCAATTTTTCGTATATCGCACACTCGGAAAAATTGACCTCACTAAGTGAAGCGAGATTAGGAGGACCAGATACGTTCGGTATTGCATCCAAGGACTCTCGTGTGAAAATAGTTGAAAGTTGAAAAAGTACCGGTCAGTATATTAGCAACTTCGCTACTATCATTCGTTAGAGTGCCGGAATGATCCCTAATTTGAATAGTCGCCACGGGCCCTGAGAGTTTTGTGTGGATATGCTTAAACAGCCTCTTGGTGTTTTTAGAATCTGCGATTCAGGACTCATATGCAATTTTAGCCTTCTTGATGATAACTGTAGAAACTTGATTTTTTAAAGTTCTGTGAGCTTTGTAGCTCTCTTCTGAACCAGACGTTTTATAGTTACGCCAGAGCGCTCGCTTCCCTCTTACTAACTTTAAAATGCTACCAGTTATCCAGGGTTTTTTGGAAGATCTTTTAACTACAGTGATAACAGTGTTTTGCTGAACAGTGTCATGTAAATTGCTTTTGAAGAGATTCCAGTTTTTCGAAATTGATTTACGAGATACGATGACCTCTAGTTTGTTTCCAAACATTGGTTTACTGCTGCAAAATCAATAGCTGTTCTCTTAAAAGAAACAGTTCGCTTACGCGGTATAAAACAAATTTGCTGATTGACCATTAACGTGATATGATCCGAAATACCAATCGGATTAAGTCCAAACTGGAGAGAGAAATATCATCCGATGAAATGACTAAATCAAGGAGAGATGGATTCTGGTTGGATCGGTATCTTGTCGGTTGTAAAACATGCTGGTGTAAATGACTGTTTACGAATAAATCAACCAAGAGTTGGGAGGACACGTCAAAGGACTGGGAGGGATCGAAAGGCCACGATACATTGGGCATATTAATTAAAGTCACCGAAGATGAATTTTTTTTCATAAAGTTTTGTTAGTTGAGTAATAAAATCAAACAAAACTTTGTCATCCCGAAGAAAAGTTGAGGAAGGTGTGTAGACACAACCTAGGAAGAATGTAACGTCCTTATTGGAAAATTTGTAAAATAAGGCTTCAATACACAGTCAAATGCTATAGGTGAGATATGAAAATTTGACAACACCTGGTCTGCTAGATGCATGCACCACCACCTTTTTTACTTAGTCGGTCTTTTCCAAACAACTTATAGCGTCTCAAATTGATCAGTCCGTCAGGTAATATCGGAGTCAATCACGTCTCAGTCAATAAAATTATGGAAGGTTTGTCATGTTCCACAAATACACAAAAATCGGTAAAGTTTGCAATTAAAGAAGCAATGTTAAAATAAGCTATTGAGCTAACAAAATAGTTTGAATAAAGAATGAATGTTATGGTTGATTATCACCACTTGGTTCATGCAGTAAGTTATCCAGATTAAGATCGTTGCTAAGCTCAGAAGCTGGACTTGCTTTAGGCTTGGAAACTTTACTAAGAGCCTTCTTAATTCTTCTTTGAACCCTTACACACTTGTTCTTAATACTTTTGTGTGTAACTACTTTACAAATATCAAACATTAAATTAAGTACTCCCTGAATATCGTTAGTGTAAGTAGCAACCAGTGCTAATATATCACGAACTCCATTAACCTTTGTCATAAATTTAATAGTCTGGTCATAATCTAAAGGATATTCATCTGTGTTGGTGATTAAGTCCTTTGCTGGAAAAAGCAGGTCTGTCACATGCCACATGCTACACACAATCTTTCCATAGAAGGAACACACAGCGACATTAATTGAAATTTTATGCCACATTGTCGCACGCCCACAACAGGCAACACTAGGCAACAAGTATCAAGCAACATGTCGTTCAGTGTTGCCTCAGTGGAATTCCGGCTTTAGACTCTCAGTAGAATCACTTTTCTTTGACTTGCTATCATTATCACCAGTATTATTTCAAAGGTCAAGTGGATTTAGCATAGAGGAATCGTCATCTGTGGTTTGCCTTTTTCCAGCTAATGTGTCAACAGGTTTAGAATGAACTGGTGAAGTAGATTCAACAACTTTTAGCAATAAGAAACACACTCGTCACTTCTCTCCATCGCTTTTTCTTTTAGCTCCATATAACTTATTTCTTGCTTAATTGATAATAGTGTCGGATAACAGAATTTGGAGAATACAAATTTCAGATTGGTACGGTCACTTGTAAAAAGGGATGTCAATCCGGACAGTTTTCTGATTTCTTCTCAACTTAGCATTTTCAATCAAAAATCAACAAAAAAGGACCTCGGTCAATAATTAGCAGGGTGGATTTTAGCTCCAGTTTGTCTCGCAAATTTTTTACGTTTCCTTGCGTGGGGTACCTATGACGTAATGGAACGAGTGGGCCGTCTGGTGTGGCGATAGCTACATAATTATGTAGCAGTCTTGCATCCGAAAATCCCACAATAGCACAATACGAGCTAAAGCTGAAGGCTGAGAGGAGTTCCAAATCACCTAGATAAAAGCCATCGATTTCGTAACCGCAATGTATGTATCATTTGAATTCCCGACAGAGATTTTTGTTTTTTTTTTAATTTGCGATAAGCAACTAAGGGCTGTCCAACCTGTCTAAAGTGCAATTAGTCGCAGTTTTTTTTCTTTTTTTTTTTATTTTCATTGACGATCACAGTTCAAAGTCAAATTTTGTTCAGATGTTAAATTCTGGCCGGATGTTTGGGTTATCACAATCGGGGTTCTATTCAATCTGCACTCTTCAGAAATATCTTTCTACGCCTACAACCCTGATTAACAAACACATAGCTTAAATTCTTTAAATTCCTTACTGTCTGACTAATCTTGACACGAAATAATTAAAGCCCCACTTGAAACTGGCTTGACATTTGTAATCGCAACCTTCTCATCAATAATAACTATTAACACCTTTAATTACGTCCAATTTGGTCTGAGTGACAGACTGAGTTGAATCAGGTTTAACAAGAATGTTTTTATCGCTATTCACGGTAGACGCATAACTGAGAGGAATATTATTTTTGATTGTTGAAAATTTCTTGATACAATAATTTTCGTTTTACTTTAACAACACCATTAATTAATATTTTATACCACAAAACTACCTTGGAGTCTACCAAGTCAGCGCGATTATCAACCGTATTTTCAATAGTAATATCCCGAGCGCATATGCGCACAAGAGGAAATTAGTAGACAATTTGATCTGCACGAGTGAATATTTTACAGACTAGTTCCTCAAGAAAAGTACATTTATCATTCTATTCCAATAGAATTAAAAGATTAACGTAATTTACGTAAAAATTATGAAAAATCAAATATTTTCCAGATCTGCATATATACAAATTTTTGCAAGATAACGTAAACAGTGAAAAGTAAAAATGCATTCCGGCCATAACGTGGCGAAAGTTCTCGACCAAAATCGTTGTGGAAATAAATAGTTTGAATCCAGTTAACAGTAAAAAAATTGGTCGAAAGTTATTCCGACAGAACTGCCCTCGCTCCTGAAGTACAATAAAACAAATCCGGCTTTTTCGAAAAATTATAAAGTTACATCATGCCAATTTTATTTTATTTTTTTAAGAGAAGTACAAGTTAAAATAAAAACATGTATGTAATGTTAAAGTAAATGTGAAAAAGCGTACTGCATATTTTTGTGCGGATGTCTAAAGTTTGCCAGAATGCTTGGGTTATCACAGCGTAAACATATGTATATGTAGATAGTATATCTACCAACATAATCAACACTGTTATCTAATTCATATTAAAGAAACTTTCTTACATTGTGTTTGCTTTAAGAAAAAATAAACTTGTGATTAAAGTTTAACATGTATACGATTTTTTCCTGGGCCACCTTATCAATTTTTTTTCAATGTTAAGTGTACATGTGTCAATCAAATGTGCAGTTCTCCATTCCTGTGAACTGACCAAAGTAAGTACTATCTATGTCCAACATACAAAAATAACTAAGACAAATGTGTTTTTAATTCCAGACATGGAAGTATCAATAGTGTTTGCACTAGTTATGTTGTCAACGTACTCACTTCTGATTACTATTGTTTTAATTTTCATAGTATTTCGAAAAAAAAACAAAAATGTACACCATTCTTCGACAAACAAAGAAAGCAAGTACAAAACTTTAGATAAAGAACGGTTTCTTAAAGTCCTCTCGGATATACTGGCAAACGCATATGAACATGCATCTCAGCAAAAGCCTATAAACAACACTCGAGACTTCTTCTTCAGGCAACTTTCTACAGTCGTCGATAACAGTGAATTATATAACTGTCCAGAGGAAAAAAATTGTCAGCATGGGGGAAAAAACACAGATTCATTTATCTATTCAAATCCTGATGAATACGATTATGTGGCACTGAGAGATACAAATTTTAATGGCAGTAAAGATAAAAATATAATCCCGGCAAAGTCTACAAGAACTTCTTTTGGGTCAAAAGATCATTTGGAGTTTTTTAATTTGTATGAAAATATAACTCCGAATTCTAAAACTGACACTAATACTTATCTAGAACCCAAACAGTTTTCCCCAAAACATGATTGTCCGTCAGATCTTCGTAACTTGTGTCACACAAACAAGTAATTTTTTGGGGCATGTGCTATTTTTATTAAATTAACTTTTAATGTGTTTAGATGTGGCTTCAAATGTATTACACTAGGTCCTGTTTCTAAGGTTTTTTGGCATTTTACGATTTGTAAAAGCAGTAAAGCGGTAGTTTGAAGTCATAACTCATAGGAATTATAAGAATTGACTTGTTTTATATTAATGTTGAAAGTGTGTTCAGAACTGTTGTTCCCCGAATGTACGATTTAGGTAATACATTTTCGCATACAATACTGGAGAGCAAAACTCTACAATAAAATCCCCGATTGCTGGAAGAAAACAAGATTAAAGGAATTGGAGAATACACTGAATACATTTTTATTAACCATAGTACTATATACTTACGGTAGAAGACTTCCTGTATAGTGAAATTTAATAGAGGTGTTTTAGTTTATTTTTAATATTATTTTAATTTGCGTGTGAATTGTAGTTAATACATACATTTTGTGTAATTTGTGACGTTGCCGTGTAACAGAATTGATGGCGAAATATATTATTATTATTATTAATATTATTACATTTATTGAGATAGTCAATAAATACAATACATATATCTTACCATCCTCATGTACAACACTTTGTGCTTATTACTACAGTAATCTCCTACTCTAATCACTCACTCTCCTTATTTAACAATTTACATTATTAAACTACCTAATACCGATATCATTACATTTCTCATCTATATCTTTAAACACATTTTTGTTTTGTTTATATGTGCCTATTACAGCTAATTTTACTACTTAAGTAACTTACTGTGGCCGGGAACTTTCATCATCCGCGGAAATTGTTAGAGGCTTCGCCAATTACTTTGAGAGTGTCTGTGGATCAAAACCTAACTGCGGTACTAACAAATGTGATAATCAATATACTACCACACATGGCTGTGTGCTTCCTAGTGTTTTGCATCTGTTTAGGGTAGGTATATAAAAGTGATGTGCACAAGACTGCGAAATAAATTAAGGTTTTGTCAAAAACTGCATCTTGTTTAAGTGAACCTCTAGCTTAATTTTAGAACCTTATCCAGAGCCTTCATAAATGTTTGAGAACCACGTGACCAGTTATTATTATAATTAAATATTTCTAACTAATAAATAGGTTGGCATTAATGATAACTGACAAATTATTTTTGCTAAATTGTCATTGTTTATTTGCCAATAGTGTCATTTACGGTCAGTAGCCTCCTTGCAGTAATAATTCTCGTTCTCGTTGTTTTTTCTAATTGTTTATTTACACCTAAATCAGTACTTCACAAACTGTGTGGTAGGTATATAACTAAATCTCTCTATATAAAATGAGGTAAGTTTATTTTGACATCTTCAGAAAAACATGTTGTTTAACACACCCGAATAGCATGATTTCATTCTGATGGCTCACTTTCGAAGTGGAACTCTTAACCCAGACGAAAGCTGGTCTTATTCGTTGCAGTCATGTATTGACCAATTTGTGGAAGCTTTTCCAGATGCCAAAATTGCAAATCAAACATTTGCAAATCACAAGGAGATCCTTGTTCATCGCTTTGATACTAAAAATTGTATTTGCAAAGGAAAGTAGACTCGTAGAAAATCTGTGTTGACTGAAGAAGTGATAGAACACATCCAACATCGCTGAGAACAGATGAAAATCCAAACAAATTTATTAAGATTTTTATAAGAATTGAAGAGATTGTATGACCCAATTTAAAAGTTACATTGTTGCAGGCCTCTCAGTTGTCATAAAACACTACACAAAGTTCTACACATGTACCCGTATAAAGTTTCAGTCGTTTATGAATTTCATGCAATGGATTTTGAGCGAAAAATAAATTATTGACAATATAGTTCAACAATAATTTAAATAATGTGATGCTTTATTAGAGTTAACATTTTTCAACGATGACGTAGGTATAGTTCAATTTGAGTAGATATGTGAATTGTTAAAACTACAGAACGTGGGCTACCAAGAACCATCATACTTTTGTAGAAACGAATTTACATACAATGAAAGTGTGAGAAGAAGAATTGAAGGCGCGATTTTTTGAGTTTTAACTCCTTTCTTTTCGTATTATAGAACACGTATACGACACGCGCCGGAATTGGATATCGGGTTCGAGAAAATGTGTTTGTTTGACTATTCCAACGACTAAGGGTGGATTTCACCGACCTCAATTAAAGTTAACGATAGAATAAATCCATAGAAACAATTATTAAAATGATAACAACGATTGTTTTTAACGGTTAGTTAACTTTAACTGAGGTTGGTGAAATCCACCCTAGATTAGATACAACAATTGATGCTGTTTTCACACCTTTTATTACTCATTTAAGAACTGATATTTATATCACTCATTTTAGTCACCATATAGGTACCACTAATAACTCTATTAAATGATAGGGATAAAGATATCGAAGCCGATAACGCTATGATTGAACAGTAATTTGTATTTTAAATCGAAAAAGTTATAAATACTGCTCTACCATTTGTAAGTATTTGCTTGTTATAGTGAACCAAGAGTTATAAGGTTATATGGCCATCATAAAATCATCCCATTGTGTCGAAGTTAAGTTGTTTACAATAGAAAAGGTTTTAAGCTTCATTCACAATGACAAAATTAGTAATTAGAATTAGCATTAGAATTAAGCTCAAAACCTTGCAAGGTGAAATATCATACAAACATTCACAATGAAATAAATTAGTAATTACTCTTAGCAATTAACGCAGAAGCTTGCAAGCTCCAAAGTTTTGCGTTAATTTCTGTATTAATTTTAATTTTGCGCCTGCGCACGAATGTTAACTAGTGTCCTAACCTACAATAGAATTGAAGAAACTCGGGAAAGAGTCAATTGTCAATAATGGTTTCAAGACGCAAAACATTACGACTTGCTGTGGCAGTGTTGTCAGATTAATTACTTACTATACGCAAAAAACAACGAAGATGGTGGGTAAGTAAAGCCAACAACCAAAAATACAGAATGCGATAGAGAATCTGCGTGCTGCGATATTTGTATCATAGAGGGCACTACAAAAATTAGTTTATTAATTTTATCATTGTGAATGTATGTTTTTGGAGATTTTCTGAGCTTAATTCTAATACTAATTCTAATTACTAATTTTGTCATTGTGAATGAAGCTTTAGGGTCGTAAATAACGTGTCCACTGCAGCTCGACCGGCTCTTGTGGTTTCGTTCAGGGGCGGCTTTCACTAAATATGAAAATCTACCACTCCACTATTTATTTACTACCTGCAGCCGCTGAGGGTTCCGAAATAACCACTCGCTTTGAAAGCCGGCCCTGTTAAATATGAGCAAGAAATGTTTAGAAGATGATTTATTGCCAACCGGTAAGCTTAGTGCGAACCACACAAAGGGGGTATTTATTTGCGGTCAACTACTTTTATGATGGCCATATAACCTTATAGGTCTTGGTTCACTATACTTTAGTTGGTAAATTACACATTGTGCTTTAATTTTTTTTATACAATATTATTATAATAATTAATTGTGATATTTCTATGTGATAACTAAATAAAACACGTATATTTTATAATAAACAACAATTGACAATAGATGGATATTTACTTTAATTAACCTAATCATCATCATTAATCATCATTTTGTCAAAAATACAAATGCAACATATTGTTGGTTTTTATTATTTTTTAAGAGAAAATTAATGACTTCGCCGCGTATACGTATTTAATTTATATAAATTGACAACGCAGAGTTACAATTCCATCCGTGCGTCCCTGGGTCGACGCACTCTTTTTTTCCACAATACTATAAATGCAGAAAGATATCGCATTAATATTATGCAACCCTTTTTGGAACAACGGTATGATGACAAATCTCAGTATGGTTAATTATAAGTCAGGGACTGCGGTCCTAATAATCACCAGATCTCATCGCCCCAGGTTTTTTTTTGTTTGGTCATTTGAAGAACAATAATTTCAAAAATAGGTTGCATACTCTTGACGAGCTGCAACAAACTATAACTCATGAAATTGAAAAGATAGCGCCTAATACCCTGCATAGAGTATTGGATATGAAAAGAAGAGTTAATTGAAGGAAACCATTTTCAACATTTATTAAAAATAACTTAATAAAAACATTTTATAAAATGCTTTGTCTTAATCTTTTGTAACTCTTTGTGACGCCTGTGAATTTAGCTAGATTAAAGTGCAATAACACACTTTTGATCACGTATACTGTAATCACGTGGTTATCGATCATTAATGAACACTCTGTATTAAGAAGTTATACGTTTCCTAACTGCTGGAAAGAAACTAAAGCTAAAAGAGTTGAAATCAGACAATAACCAGGAAACGACAAATTATCAACCTATAGCTATTATAAAGAATTCCGCAAACATTTTGATTACATTTTATCAGATATCTTACGTAGTCTCATAGGGAACGATGAACGATAAACAAATTTGAATTAACCGCCTTTGTTGCCTTAATCACAACCAGCAATTCTTCAAAATCTCTATCCGCCGCGCCGGGATAGACGATTATGGGACATGACTAATAAAAACATCGTAAGCCGATATTGAAGAATAGTGATAATTTATGACAGTTGCTGGAAATAATTATTACACTCAAACACAATTTGGATTATCGGGCAAACAGGGCTTATCAACTTCGTCTATTAATTTATTCGCCTAAATGTATTATTGCCGTTTTTTTGTTATTTAGATAAGTAGGACTTGACACGATCGGTAATATGCAGAATGAAATGGTGTTAGTGTTTTGAGTTTTGATAATAAGTTGCCATGAGCAGAAATTATTGTGAGTATAAAGGATTGAAATCTATATACGACATTTCGAACAATAATTGAATATAAATGTAAAAACTGAACGGTGTGGGTTGTTTATTTCAAAACAATTTCCTTACTTGGGTGCTAGCCCAGACAGGGTTCTAGAGGATCGGAGTACATTTGTCGAAATTGAATGCCCTTCAAAATCGTAATATTGGTCTCCCGAAGAAGGAGTTAGAAAAAAAATTATCAAATTTTGTACGTTGACAGGTAGAGAATTGAAACTAAAAAAAAATCATGATTACCCACTAGTTACTATTTTCAAGTCCAAGGACAAATACTTGTAACAGGTATTTCACAAGTTTATTTTGTTGTGTGGACACTCAAAGGAATAAGTATTGAAAAAAATATGTAAAGATGAAGAAATATGTAAAAAGATGGTAAATAAACTCGACAGATTTTTATTTTGGGGTCTTATTAAATTTTTTAAAAATAAATAGCATTTGTTTCTATATTTTACTACATATGTAATTTAATATCTGGTTGACCGAGCTTCGCTCGGTTCGTTTGATAGTATTAGATCAAATTAAGACAGATAAATATGCGCACAGTATGTATTTTGAAGTACCCGCACTAATTAAAAATACACATTAAAAAAAGAAATCCCATAAGCTCATAAGCAGTCTTTCTTTTAAACACTGATGTGTGACATGTAGATATTAAACAATAGAAAACTGGAATTATTGTTTGACATTTATTATTATTACAATATCATTT